GCTCAGGGGTTCAGAGGTCTCGGTCCATAAATGGCCAACTTGGTAACTGTAGGCCAGAGGGAGGCAGAACATTCTGGGACGTAGCAGAGGAAAAGCAGCTCAAGACATGGCACCAGGAAGCAGAGACAGAGAGAGCTCTGCTCACCAGGGACAAAATATGAACCCCCAAGGCACCCCCCAGTGACCTACTTCTTCTAGCCACACTCTACCTGCCTACAGTTACCACCCACTTAATTCATTCAAGTAGATTAATGCACTGATTAGATTAAGGCTATCATCACCCAATCACTTCACCTCTAAACTTTCTTGCATTATCTCATACATGAGCTTTTGGGAGACACCTCACATCTAAACCACAATACTTCTCAAGACCACAAGGGTTCTGGAAAATGAAAGAGTTTACAAGATGGAATACGGCAAATGCATCCTCTGACTCAAACACATCACCATCATCCTAAAAGTGCGGTGGGGGTCAGTCTCTGACAATGCAACACGGGCTTCCTGCTGGCTGACTGGTAGGTGGGTCTCACCCATGTGATGGGACGTGTGGTCATCATCAGGAGGCCAGCAAGTCTAGGCACCTGCCTGGGCTTTTCCTATCTCCACCCACAACCTGGGGGACTTCAATCTCCATCTTCCTTTTTTTCCCTGTAGTCATTTCCACCTCTCAGCCACATCCACCACTCACACCCCCCTCCACAACCTCACAAAGTCAGAGGAGAGGGAAGAAATGGAGGGGGCGGGGGGGCAGGGAGACAGGGAGGATGAGAGAGAAGGACCACCTCATACACAAACAGCTCGAATCCCCGGTTCCCGCTGCGAACTGTGAGACCAAGGGAAGGCTCATCTCCTTTTTGCTCGCCCACCTCTGTCTCCTCTTTTAAATTAAATTCCTCTGTTTCTGAGATTCATCTTCATTCAAAAGAAAAGAAAGGACTTGGGTCTTTTAAGTGTTCTTTTTCATGAGGCTTTTCTGGACCTCCGCTTTCCTCTGTCGTCCTGCAGAGGCAGCAGGGGAGAGCGGGGACGTGAACGGAGGGTGAGGGGTGTCTGCAGGGCTGCCTGGTTAAGAAGTGGGCAGGCTGAAGACAGGGAGGGGGGATTGCCGGGCTGGCACAGAAGTCTTGTCAAAGAAAACCCATTTTCTGGCTGCAAAGCTAGGAACAGAAAAGTTAGGAAGGAGGAGAAGAAGGTGACGGGTGAGGGAGATTCATTTGGGAGAAGATAGCCCTAGCTCAGAGGGAGTCCACCGAACACTGGCTTTTCCCTTCCAGATCGCAGCCTCCCTTCCCTCTCAGGGGGTGGGTGGAGAAGCACGTGGGGGCAGGCTGGGGAGTGAGCACACCATCGGAGGCATTTTTAAAAATTTTATTCAGAAGTCATTGGAATATGTTTGCCGGGGGTCAAGGGGGCACTGTGAACTCTTCAGCCCTCACAGAATTGAGCTGGGACCAGCAGGCACACCCTTAGCAATGTAGGGATGTCAGAGCACACTGCCGCACAAGCCTCTCACTCTTCTCTGACCTTGGGCAAGGCGCACCATCACCAAAGCTCTTTCCTTGTTTATTCTACCCTCAAGCACCTCCCAAGGTTACTGAAAGGGCCAGATGAAATACACAGGAGGGGATGTTCAGTTGTACAATGGTGCTCAGCCACAGCAAGATCCTATTCATGAGAGGTTACCATCTTCCTTCCCTGAGGACATTTTCCTTGTGGGAGAAGTTCCTGAGGAGCCCTTCCCCTTACCTTCCCATTTTTCACCCCCTTTCAAAATTGTAGGATGTTGACAAGAAAAGGAGAGGATTGATTTTTGGGGAACAAGCCTGGATTGTAGCTGGGCCTTGTGACTCATGATGGAAGTCCATTGTATCTATTTCCAGGGAAAAATCACACAATTCCCAAACTGGCTGGGGATTGCAGGTTCAACAAAAGGGCATTGGCCTCATTTTGATATCCTGGGACTCATTTTCAGTAGTGGCTTCAGAATTTCTACATAGAAGAGGCTTGGAGGCTGTGATGTATTTGCATGGTGAGGGCACACAGCTAGAAGAACTTGATGCCATCTTAGCAAAGCAAGCACCCTGAATAACTTGAGTATGTTAATCAGCTTTCTGCTGCTATGATAAAATACCTGATGAAAAAAAGTGAAAAAAGGAAAGATTCGTTTTGGCTTACAGTTTCAGAGGTTTCAATCCTTGGGTGGCTGGCTCCATTGTCATGGGCCTGAAGTGAGGCAGAACAACATGGCCCGAAGAGCATGGTGGAGCCAAGCTACTCACCTCATGGCTCCTAGGAGGTAGAGGGCCCAAGAACAAGCTAGGTCTTTCCAGGGCACGCTGGCAGTGATCTACTTTCTTCAATTAGATTCTCCCTCCTACATTTTCTACCATCTCCCGGTAATCCACTTAGCTATGAATCCCTCCATGGATTAATCCACTGATGAGGTCAGAGCCCTCATGATTCCATCATTTTCCAAAAGCCACACCTCTGAACATTGCTGCATCGGGGAACCAAACCTTCAGCACATGAAACTTTAGGGGACGTTCTAGATCCAAACTGTAAGATTATGTATATCAAAACTGGGGTGGAAATTAGTGGTGGTTACGGGGTTCAAATGTTAATGTTCTTTGCCCTACCCTTCGATCTTGTGGGTGGAAGATAAAGATGCAGTGATGGTTGTCAGGGCCACGATTGATGATCTGGCATGAGACTAGGGGTTTGCAAACCTAGAGTGGAATCAAATCTCCACCAGCAAATATTTGATTTCTCTTCTTAAAATAGCTCTAGTAGATACAAGATTCTCTAACATTCTTTCTTAATTTATTCCCTGTCTTCTAAATGTTAGGATAGAAACTTGCAAAAATCTCTCCTTTAGAAACAAAAGTGCTAAGTGATCTCAACATGTTTCCTCATTTATTTGCTTTTCAAAGCCCAGAGACTTTGTCCCACTGAACCTGGGACACTTCCTTCCAGAGGCTTCTTCTCTACCTCTGGCAATGTCCCAGAAGGGGAGGAGGACTGGGCAGTATAAGGGAGGTATTCATATTTGTTGATTATCTAATCCTCTAGTCTGGCAGGTGCTTTGGGTTATTTTGCATAATGCAAATAATATTAAGAAAGCATTAAATGACTCCGATTTGGAAAGATTACGCATAATGTTATCAGATAAAGAAGGCTTCTCTGTCATGGATGCCCAATAAATATGGTTATTAAATAATCAGATGTCACAAACAGGGTTTAAAACCACATTTTATCCAATTCCAAAATGTGTGCTCCTTCTATGTGTATTCTCAAACCCAACTTGGAGAAGGTAGTGACTGACCTCCTCCCAAATGCTGTATGTCTCTGGTAAGCAACATATACATAAATATATTTATATATATTTGTCCAAAAATATATATAAATGGAGAAACCCCTTTGAGACCATGCATCAAACTACCAGGGATGACTTAGTGTGTCCCCTCTGGTGGAGAAAGTAGTGTGCAAGGTACTTTGGTTGGTTGGAGTCAGTGGACATTTACAAGGCAAGTGTCTTGTGATACCCATACTTTTAAGAAATCAAAGCCCACTCAAGCTAGCTCCAAAGGTGGGGTGTGGGAGGGTAATTTTAATGGCAGATATTGTTTTTGAATCCAAGGGACACTGAACAATTAAAGCAAGAACCGGGGAAGTCTGAGGACTTGGAAGGATTGCAATGACCTTGTTGATTTGCCATCCACTCCTCTACTGACCATTCAGCCCCTCCCTATCATTTAGAGGAATAGTTTCCACATTGTAATCATCCTGTGTTAAGCCAACGTAATCATCAAATTGGAGCTGGCGGGTGGGGTGGGGAGTATACATCTAGTGGTTCACAAAGTATATCCAAGGAATATACTTGCATAGGCACATTTTGAGGTTCACAAAGTATATCCAAGAAACATGCATAGGCACATTTTGAGAGTTTCATATATATATATATATATATATATATATATATATATATATATATATATATATATATATATAATATATAATATACACACATATATAAAATTTCCTATATATAATTTCATGTTTCTCATGTTTCACATTTGTAAATACATACATATATATATATATATATATATATATATATTTTTGTATGTGTGTGTATGTATATGAAATTGACCTGCCCAAGAAATTGCTTGTTGATGAAGCCTCATGTTGGTCCTGTTCCTCTTCCTTTCTCTATTGTGCTATTGCTGACATGTACTATATAGTTAGGTCTAGGATGGTTGTGTCTATACTGAACATATGCAGATTTTCTTCCTTGTCATTACTCCCTGAACAATACAATTACTTACATACAATTTACAGTATATTAAATATTATAAGTAACCTAGAACTGATTTATGGTATAGAGGTGATGTGTTATGTACAATTACTGTGTCATTTTATTTAAGGAATTGAGCATGCATGGATTTTAGTATTCACAGGGGGCCTGGAACAAGTCCCCTCAGACACTAAGGAACAACTGTACTTAATCATACATGGGAGTTAGCTGGAAGCATTTAAAAATTCAGAAGTTTGAGCCCCAGCCCAGATCTGTTTCAAGATTGCTAGATCTGTGCTCCTATAGTATGTCCCCAGGTGATTTTTATTTATCCAACAAGAACACAGTCTGTGGGCTGTCCTTTGGGAAGCTCCCCTCTAAATGGTACCAATTCAATGAATCAGAATTTATCTGTCACTTTAAGTAATCTTAACTTGCCTGACCTCCTATCCTCCAATTTCTTCTTCTGTAAACAGGGGTAACAACTGTCCCTACTTCATAGAATTGATATGGGATTAAATAAAATATTTCATGTGTGTAGAACAGTGTCTGGCTCATAATTACCAAGTAAATGTTAATTTGTTACTAATTACGTAGTATTATAATTTTATCATCTATGTAATTAGTCTCTGTAAATAGTCTCTTGGTTATGGAGGTCGAACAGAATCCAATTGCTGTGCCAACTGTTTAACAAAAATACATGAAAGAAAGGAAAAAAATTCAAAGTTTATTAAACATTAAGAATAACAGAGAGATAAAGGTTTGGACTAACAGCATACATACCACCAATATCATGATGTACAATTAAACTAACCTCATGTTAACTTGTACCTGTTTAACAGATGCGATCTTTGTGGTGTTGCCAAAAAGAAAATGGGTTATTGTTGTTTGGTAAGGTGCTCAAAAAAATGTAAGATTTTATGTCTTGACTTATTCATATACACATGCACATACACACACTCCTCTGCATGCTCTTGACTTCCTGCAAAATGCACTGAATTTGGTCGCTAAATCCAATTCATCAGACCTAAGATAAAGTTTTGCTCATTTTTAGAAACATTAATTTTAGCCAACACCCCCGGGGGGAACCTGGTCTCGCCCTTGGGGAGTGCCAAGGAGCCCTCAGGAGGAAGTGGGTACATGGGGTGCAGAAGATGTCTACCTTGTGAAGGGTATACTACATCTTAGTCACCTGTAGGGGACTGACCCCAGTGTGCCAAGCAGGCTGCTGTCTTGGGATCTCACTAATTAACCGATCAAGTGTGAGTTTTCCTAAAAGGAACATAAGGGGGAAATTCAATGAACTACTAGAAAATCCAAAGTCAACTTTGCATTTTACAGAATGTCTATTGTTTCACTCTGGGGCAAGGCAGAGGGTACTGCTTAACATTCTCCTTGATTCTTCTGACCCTAGACCTTTTGAATGTACAGTTAGAATTATGAGTTTCCAGACAAAATCAAGAGGGTTAGAAGAAACCTCTGGGTTAGATTATATAGCTTCTACCAACTCAATGCCAGAATCACATCCATACTCTCCTTCTCTTCAAACAAAAGGTTCTGCTTTGAGGGATGACTCCATGGAGACCTGTGGTATTCAAAGACCAAGGCCTAGCACAATCTTACCTCACGTGAGGTCCAAAGTGGCCACATTCTCAAGGTAGCAAGCAGCAGAGATAGGCTGATCATTTCTTTGCCTTTTTTTTTTTTCTTTAAATCTAATCAAAAGAAATGGTGAGGTGACCTTATCAGGAAGTTCTATGCCACTCATCCCAAATTGCATCTAAATAATGTTGGCATGATGTGACTTGTATTCACTTTTAATGGCCAAATCATTAATCTCTGAAAGATGCTTAGGATGAAAAGGTGAAAAATGACAATAAGACTCTCATAATAGCTGCAGTCTGCAAGTACTCACTTGACCCTGGATCCAAGTCACTCCTAGTCAGACCGTGGCTTCCCACTCCACTTAGCAAAAATTATCTTATTTATTACTTAATTCCCCTGGACAGTCAGGCAGCCAGTCCGTGTGTGTGTGTGTGTGTGTGTGTGAGAGAGAGAGAGAGAGAGAGAGACAATGACCTGCATATAAGGCACCTGTACAGACTCCAAAGTGTTTAATTTTTTAAGACGAGGTAGGTTTCTGAAACCTCTCCTGGCACAAAAAAAAAAAGAATAAATTTTGTTATGATTATTTTATTCATTCTGCAGAAAACATCTGTGATGCTCATTTGATACAATGTAATTCCAAGAAAGACCAGTGCTCAAATATGGTTTGTTTGTTTGTTTGTTTCAGTTACCATGTGACACTTCCAAAATTGGGATGGTCCATAGAGAGGCCCTTCAACTTCTGCACTTAAAGGTGTAATTTGTCCTTCTTTGCTTTAATGACGACTATCATTTAAGGATTCTGCAGTTAGCCTCTTCGTCTATAAAAAGGTCAACTCTATGTCCACTTGTGGCTCTTACTGAATTTCATATTCAGTAATACTTAAGATAGCCAAAGGTTTTGCTGATTTTTATTTGTTATTTACCTAAATAAAGTATATTATTAGTTCCAATACTTCCCCATCCCCTGACATTCTCAGTGGCTTGGAACAAAACGGGTACTAGTAGAAATAGCCTACTGGCTGCATTTCCAAAGTCCTTGACACTAGAGAGGAGCAGTATGATGCATGGACAGGGGACCCGGCAGATCATTAAAGAATGAAGATACTGTGGAGGCAGGAAAATAGAAAACTCCCATGGATGAAAGGGGATTTTAATCTAGCACAAAATGTTTCTTTGCAGTAACAGCAGAATCTCTTGACATTATACAACTTAGTGAAACAGAAGAACAATCATCTTTAAAGTCAAAACATCTATCAGAGTATAAGCCATACACATAGCACCGATGTCAACCTTACATGGCGTGAGATGCACAGGCCGGAAGAGGAGAAAAAAAAATCATTTGGGGCACTGGCAGCAATGCTCCATTCCCAGGAACTCAGAATTTTGAAGTGAACATTTTTGTGGCAGATGCTTTTCCTAAAAAACACTGTATCATCCAATAAATATTTGACTAAAATCCATTTTGTGCTTTTGGGTGATGTTAACTGACTTCTTTCTGAGACCTAATAAGAAACAAGAAAGCATCGGAGCAGGATTTGTCACGGCGAGCCTCGATTCTGTCATAAAATTTTAATTTAAAGCAGAAAACATGCTGATGTGTCAATAATAGGCTTAAAATATTAAAGACTTCAAAAACCCCAAAGCGCTTCTTCTCTATACAGCATCGGTGAATATATATCTTTGCTATATAATTTTAAAACAAGGAATACTTTTCTCTTTTCTATATATAATATATGTCTTCCAAAATACATTGTCAGTATTTATATCTGAAAAATACTGTACAAAAAAAGAACTTCCTATAATTACTCTGTATAAACATTAAACAATTTAATAATCTCTCCTTTTGGTCTGCAGTAAACATTTAAATCGATTGGATGAACCACAGTTTGCAACACCATCCCCTTCTGAGATACGCCAGTGTCTTTTACATTCATTTTTCAGAAGTCCACTTTATAAGAGCACATACGTTCGAAAACAAACAGAGAATAAGAAACGAAAGCTCCAGAATCCTTAACTGATGAGGCATTCAGAAATGATACCATGAGGATAGAGGGTCTTACAAAACATCAACTTATTAACTGAATCAACTGATTTTTAAAAACAGCAAAATAGAATTCACAAAAATATATATATATATATTACCAAAAAAAATGGAAAAACTGAATCTTAAGTAATTGTTTTTGACTATTGAGAGGGATATGGAAAAAGTTAACTAGAAAAGTGGGAGTGGGGTGAGCGTGGGGGAAGGGAGACAATGAAACCAAGGTCAATGCCACAGGCTAGTCCAAGAAGCATTTTTGGTTCATGTACTGATCCATCTAACCCCTCATTCATAGACCTCCCATTACCCTCTGCTTCCCTGTCCTGGGGATGTTCTGGTCATGCTCAAATGCATTGTTTTAATTTTTGTTTTTTAAAAGACAGTGAAAAAAATCTTAGGTAGGGAACATATCCTACGTCCACTAGTAATACTCAGGCAGCATGCTCTAGCGTACAATAGGATTATTGCTTTAGGTACAGACAGTGCAAAAACACACTCTGTGTTCTATAATAGTACTCTTACTTATCTGGGGGCCAGTAGAATGAAAAGGAAACTTAGTAAATAGCAATAAGTAAATATGGGATCTAACAAATCTAAACAGCACTTTAAATTTGAAGACGATCATCACCAAAACTGGGGGTGGGGTGGAGTGGGGCGGGAAATGAAAGCAACCTATAAAGGAACAGAGCTGCGCGTGTAGTGCTAAGTTATTGTGTGCACCTTATTAGCATGGCGACTTATGGATTCAACAAAAACAAGAGTTTGTACTCTTGAGAACTGAGATCCACTATTTTACCAGGGCTCTTCTTAAGTGAATCCAAGTGGAGTCCTGGAAGAGTAGGTAAGCAGGAAACGTGAAGCCACAAGGATAGGGCAGAAGTGGGAAAGGGAGTGGGAGGGAAACCCACAAGAGGTCTCCAAAGTCTAGTCAAAACATGGCACCTTTCTTTGTTCAAACTAAAAGACGATGAGAGGGCCATCTTCAAATGGCAAGTGCAAAGGAACACACACACACACACACACACACACGGTGGACCACACACATGAGCACAAGCACATGGACGTGCCTACGCCCACGCGTGCACACACACACACACACTCACACACACGTATGCACACCAAAATGTGAGTCAGTTGTGTTTATGCCTCTGGTAAAGTGCTGATGTCAGAAAGGTTGGTTTGGGGGTGGTGCTATCAGACAGGAAACAAGCTGTCCATCTAGTCAAAAGCCAGCGGCAAAAATGCCATGCTACAGGGGCCCGTGCCTGGCCTCGTACTTGGCAAGTATGTTCTTGCATTTGCCCAGCTCCTTCCTCAAGTCAGCCACCTCCTGGCGGAGGGCCGAGTTCTCCTTCTCCAGGAACGAAGCCCTGATGGCAATCTGGTTCTCCTTCAGCCGCCGGGCGTCGCGGGAGCGCTTGGCAGCCATGTTGTTCTTTCTGCGCCTTGCCCAGTACTTGTCATCCTGCTCATTAGTGACAGAAGGAAAAAGAAACAAGATATTAGATTTCAGCAATGCAGCGCCTCAGCCAGGGGCCTGGCAGCCTCTAGGGTTGTGCGGAGACACCAGCCCAGGTGCTTAACTTGGGCCTCCTTCTTTGACACTTTCTGTACTTCGGAGAGAGCGGTCCACGGGCCATGGCTTCCTTCCTGGAGCAAGGACCAACTTGTCACAACAGGCTCCGATGCTCTTTGCCCAACAGAGCATGTGCTCAGTGAGGGAGACATCAGAGCTGGAACGAAAGCAAGTGACTTGCCTCTCACCCTGAACGACATTCCAGTATTCTTGACTCTCTTGGCTGAAATTTTTAAGGACTTTTTTTTCCTTCCATGTGTACCCCTATGCTTATTTATTTATTTATTGCAGTAAATTCATATAATATTTTTTGGAAGGCAATTTAGTAACCTGCCTCAACCATTTCGTACATTTACTATCCATCTAGCAATTCTGCTTCTAGGATTCCATTCTGCTGCAACGACCATGCTTGTGCACAGAGACACAGGCCTAGAACTGTTACTATAGCATTGTTTGTAAAGGAAAAAAATGGGGGAAAAATAATTATCTGTAGGAGATTTACTACATTAGGATAGTCATGGTGACACTCTATAGCTATTAAAAATAATAATCCACTGAACCCAAAAGATGTTCACGATATATTACAGTGTGGGTGGAACCAAGGACAACCTGCTGATAAACATGTGTGACTTCATTTTGGCTTGATTAAAAAAAATGTAACAGAATATATTCGTAGAAAGAGGCTTAGAAGGATTTATACCAAGCTACAAAAGTGGTACCTCTAAAAAGTGACTGTAGAGAGAGACAAAGGAGAGAAGTGGGGTCTTTAACCTTTTATGTCTTTCTGAACTACAAGAATATTATATAATGGGCATGTACACTTTGGTGGTTGAAAATGGAAATTTTTTTTTAAAGTGCTTTGTCCTGCCACTAACCAATGTACTCATATCAGTGGCTAACATTTAAGTAACTTACTCTAATTTTCTATTTAGCTGTTCACCAGGCCCCAGCTAGCCTGGGTAGAATTCAGCTGGTCAGTGTGAAAGCAGACCCTCCTTTTCCCCCTAACAAAAGAAAGGGAAAGCGTCTTAGGGGAGACTAAGAACTGTGAGTCTTCTTTTAGACCTTCCCAGTTCATTGATAAAGCCACCTGATCAATTTTGCAACTGTCTTTTCCTAACAACTTGCAATAGCAAAACCCCTTCGTCTTACCTGTGCATCCCACCCAGAATATGTCGGTAAGGCCAGTCCTTACCCTCCCCCCTGGATTCCAAGGGACAGCTGGCATAAGGGACAGCTGGCATTGGAAGAGGTCATTGGGATTGGGAACAAGGCTGCCAGGAAAGTCCAAGATCATAGTCTTTCCCCAGACCTACCTGTCACCCTCAGCATACATTCACACTATGCAGAGTATGTGAGGTGGAAAGTATGTCCTGTCTGCGGATCACCATCCAGTACTGTCGTCTTACTTATAAAGCACCCCCAGCTTTCCATACATTTCATAATAATGTATAATAGGGTGAAAAAAATCTTTATGATAGGTGGTACCAGAATTCTTCTGAGGGAGGAGGCTGCCCACTGAAGAATACCTGATAAGTAAGCTTGGACAGGTGTGCTAGGGTTGTGGGTAGAACCTATCATTTGTGCTTCTGAAAGGGAGTTGGAGGAGCTGGAAGAAAGGGAGAGACACTGGGAGGAACTAGGAAAGCCAATGACATCACAGGGGTGGAGGGTGCCCAAAGCATATTCACAACAGTGGGCTTCCAGTTCTGATGGAGGTTGTTTGTGTCACTTGGATGCAGGACCCCATTCCACCCCCTTTGTAGGGTTGGTAAAACTACCACACTGGTCAGTGTGTCTGGGAGTGTGGCTTCCAAGAGCATTCCAAAGAGAAGCTGATTCAGGACAGATCAGAACCTACACACCAGGGAAGAGGAGCCCCCAGGAGGTGAGCGAGGACAGAACAAGCCCCCAGGAAATCATAGACAAGAGAGGGCTGCGGGGGAGGTATTGCCATAGGCCATGGATTTGCTGGTCTGTGACAATCCTATCAGGTCTTAAGGACCAGGGAGTTACCTGCTGAGCTCAGGGTAACAACCAGCCTCTCTGTCTCCACTTGGGGCTCTTCTAAAGTGCTTTCATTTCTAGCCTCACCAGTCCACACATGCAGATGAGCTGGCAAAGATGCAGAATGAAGCATAAATGTCTCTGGGAGGGAAGTGAGGAATAGGGGTGGAACAATGGATGCAGAGGCAGGAATGAAGAAGACCAAGCGTCTTGGCTTGGAAAAACCAGCACGCCTCCCTTTATCATCACAGGTTGGTTGTGGGGAGGGGAAAGCAGGGTCTTGCTTAGACCTGATAACCTGGCATGACATCCCCTGTGCCCTTCTCCCAACCTCCTAGATGCTGATGCCATCTAGATACTCAGTCATTTGCACCAGCAAAGACCCGCACAACCATGATCCTTCTCATAGGTTAGCATTTTTTTTTGTTTGTTTTTTGTTTTCACCAGACTAGAAATTTCATGAGGCCAAGAACAATGTCAGTATTGGCTGACATTGTTATCCTTGGTATCCCCGGCCCAAGACAGGGCTTGGCACACACTAGCATTTGAAAAATATTTGTCAAGTAAGTGAATGGACTGTTAAAATATTAAGAAATCAAGATGAATAGACTGACGTTTCAGTTAGAAATCCCAGTATGCCATTCCTTAATTCTCCCAGGAGGAGCGTGCTCAATTCTGGCAGTGAGGAGTAGGAAAGACCAGTTTGGGTGGGCATCGGTTCACCACTCATCATCCAATGCTGGGGCTACGAACACCTCCCCCACCCACTCCAGCTCAGTCCTGTCTGCTGAAAGGAGAACATGTTACAATTCTTCCTGCTTCACGCCAGCACATGGTCTGTGGCTTCAGGCTTTATACACAACTGGAAAAAAAAAAAAAAAAAAAACCCAAGGGTACATGGCAAGAGCATGTTTCTGCCCATGAACAGGTCATGAAAAGGTCGGGCCTGGCTATGACAGTAGTCACATGTATAATTCCAGTACAGTTTCACCTGGCCTCTTTGTTGCTAAGATTAGCTGGATTATTAAGCAATCTTGTTCTTTGCTTTGAACATGTAAATTTGGAGACTCTGTGAAAGTCTGGCTGAAAGTTCTATCTAGTATTCAGTGACATCCTTTTAAACTACCCTCCAAAAGACAGGAAATCCATATGGAGCGAGCTCCCTGATTTAGGATAAGGTATGAGGCTCTGAAATACACCTAGAATTGGATCACTAAGAACACAAGACCGTACCAGGCATCCAACTGAAAGAGTGTGCCAACTTGTCCTGGATCTAATCCCATAGCACCCTGGTCTCATCCTATCCAGCCTGACTAGTTTAGATTTTCTGACTTTTTAGCACACACTTTCCTTTTTTGACTCTCAGGGTAAGGGCCCTTGCTGTATGCCTTGTCAGGATAACATGCTGCAGTGACCTTTCTGGAAATGAGACAACCTGGGAGCTGGCCTTACTCTAAAAGTAGAGTTAACCTCAGTTCCCCTTTCTGCTTCTCCATTTCCTCAACTGCAAAGTGATAACTCCGGACTAATGGATCTCTAAGGTCCCTTTCAGCCCCGACATTTTCCCATTCTGCAGCAGTTAAGGTAATCTCAGATATGTGGATGACAACAGTGAGTTAGATCTGCTGGGTACTTCTTCTTACTGTGTTCATCCTTGATTTAAAAAAGTAGCAGGAACTGGACTAAGTCAGTTCAGACAATGTCCCAAACTCCCCTTTTCCTGGCCCAGGAAAGTCGACACATGAGCATACTTAGCTTTGAGAAATGGGAGTCAGATGTTAGAAAAGAGCTAATTAAATATAGTTTCAGTGCCTTGAATATGTACAATCATATCTACATTGTCCTCCTGATTGGAAAGAAGAATATATTCAAAACAGTTCTATGAAATGGCCAATTAAAAATGGTTCCATGCCAGGCGCAGTGGCGCACACCTATAATTCCAGCAACTCAGGAGGCTGAGACAGGAAGATAGTGAGTTCAAAGCCAGTCTCAGCAAAAGCAAGGTGCTAAGCAACTCAGTGAGCCCCTGTCTCTAAATAAAATTCGAAATAGAGCTGGGCTGTGGTTCAGTGGTGGAGTGCCCCTGAATTCAATCCCCGGTAAAAAAAAAAAAAAAAAAAAAAAATCATTCCATGTTGGTATTAGTAGACATGACATGATTTAGGAAAGAATTCTCATCCTAAATTATCATTAAATATGTCAGATTGATTTTGTTTTAAGTTGTATTCAACTTCATAAATCTATTTCCCCTTGTAAATAATGTATTCCATTGAAGACATCAGAGAAACCCAATCTAGAATTTTGTTGGGATGCTCAAGTGATCACCACTTGCAACTCAAAGTGAAGGTAACATATAAGCAGCATCAAGGAGTCTACCAGCTTCATTCACATTATCACACCCTGGTCACCCCAGGTTGGCAATGTGAAGAGAAGTTCTATCTCTGGCTGTTCATTGGTGAGGCCTTCTGGGAAATGGTAATGGTTATCCACAAATTTGCAAAAGGCAGATAATAGTTGGAGGACTATGAGGTCCTGATATCCTTCCCAGGGTATTTTCTTTCTCTTTCCAACCTTGAAAGATTGGGGTTTTAACTATGAGATATTTCACGGTTTTCTTTGCAGAAGGCAGCAGGTGTCTTTCCTTCCTAGGCTTGACATCAATCTAACATCTTACTATTTCTCCTTATTTCTGTTCAGTGTCAAGACATGAAATCATCTTTCAGAAGACACCCAGAGAGGAAGCCGTAGGCCAAGAAGCTACAAGCCACCAAACAAGATCAGAAACCCTGTGCCCTTCATTCATTAGCTTATGTGAGCTTCTTGAGGTCACCCCTTGCATTTGCCTCTCAATCCCACTTTCCATTTTCCCAAAGCCTGATTACCAGTTCCAATTTACCTTCAGATCATCGGGGATGAAGACTTTGCGAGCTTTCTTAATCATGGGCTGTGGCTTCAGTTCTTCCTCAGAGAACTTGCGTTTGCGAGGGTCAAACATTTCTTGGCCAGGGATGCTGGAGAGGGCAAGATCTGCTGGATCTGGCTCATAACCCACCGGGACCTGGATGGTGTCAGGATCAATGGGACTTGGTGTATTGCGGTTTGCTGGCAACAGCTGACCTGGAACAACACAGGAGTTTAAAATTCATGAACACTGCAGGGAGACCCTGCAGACCGCTACTTGATGATACACCAAGGTGAGTGGCAAGAGTCTCCAACTTATATATGACCCTGGTGTCATTTGTCTTATTCATCTTCACCATGTTTCTGAGACCACAACAGGATAAATGCAGACGTCACTCATGTCACATCAGGCAAAAACGAAGACACACAAACACATGTTCACACACTGGGCAGGGCAGGGAGAACTCAGTTTAAAAAACACACATTCTTTCTTTCCTATTGCACATTCACATAGCTATGTGTTAGATGGACTGATGGCTGCGGTGGACAGAATAGCATGGTGTTTATCTTCAAGGTGTCTTCCAGGTGAGTCCTGGGGAAAGACCAGTAATTAGCCAGTTAAGATAGAGTGTAGGTGCTGGGATGGAAGTAAGTCTCCTGTGGTTCCAGAGTGTGGGAAATGGTAACATGACACCATGGGGGTTGGGGAACACACCATGGAAATGATATTTGCCATAGCTGCATCTTGAGAGAGTGATTTGCAAAAAAAATTATTTTTCAGGAAAAAAATGATAAGGCAGGGGTTTGCATTTTTGAGGAACTACAGATGACCTCCAGGAGCTGGAAGGCTGAATTCAAAGAAGAGATGGAGTTGGGAAAGCATACAAGCAAGAGATGCGGCCACTAGCAAGGATGTTTTAAAAGGGTCTGAATGTCACTGAAAAAGTCTGGGTAGTAAAGACAGCTGAAGTTTGGTGAACAGACTCAAAGAGTGTCATGAAGGAATTGAAGGAGGCACCCTTAGAGACAGATCAGATACAAGCTCACTGCAATAAACCATGCACCCATGGCAGTGGAGACAGCGAGAAGGGGGCAAGCTCAAACATACTTAACAACTTAGAGAGGACGCAATGGAGACAATCTACCCTGCACTTGACGGATGTACAGGCTAAACCACTGAAATGCACAAACATCCATAGAACAATGGGTCTATTGTGTTTCTGAATATGTCTTACTGGTGAAAGTGAACTTAATAACAGACCAACATGTTTATGCTGGGAGCTCTGAATCTTAACTTCTGGTTTCACCTGAATTTTACAATTGTTTCTTTCACGCCCAGAAAATAAATGAGAGGACCCAGCATGGCTATTTGGCTCACCTCCTCTTCATCCTCACTGCCAATGGTAGGTCACTATGTGAAGTACCCTTTAGGTTTCATTAAAAGCTACCCCAGGTTGGAGCAGAAGCCATTGGCTTGCATTCTAGCAAAACCGTGAAACCATGCTTGTCTGTTTTTTTGGAAGGGCCTGGTAGGGAGCTTGCAAAATGAGTGCTCTGGGTGACCTTTCAGGTCCCCACTCTGCTTTGAGCTATTTGCAGCCTGCTTGCCAAAGAGGAAGAGATGGGCCCTGAGGCACTGGCAGGGGATGGGGATTTCTCATTAGCCAAGCTGCAGCTTAGCTCCAGCTTCTGGAGACTGCTGGGATCTGTGCTGGATGGTGTCAAGCTGGATTTGCTCTTGTGCTGCTTGACATTGCCTCAGAAAATGAACCACATCTCAAACGGGGGTTTTATTTTCCTTTAAAAACTCTCTCTGAGCCTAACAACAGAACGACCCAACGCTCCCTCACTACAACCCCTACCACCACCCCACAGGCCAGTGCACCCTTCCCCTACCTTCCCAAGCATCTGTTAATACTTCCCAAATGCAACTGCTCCAAGTTACAACAAGATCCTCCTTTATACTTCAGTATTGTACTTTTATGCTATATTAAATATTCTTAAGCTACACACACACACACACACACACACACACACACACCACATGGTCTTTCATTTCATCTCCACCCAACTCCCTGCCATGACACCAATTCAGTGTTCAGCTTCTACAAAGAGCATTCCTGGGTTTTTGGTGCTCTTCTGAGATGCTGAGCTATGACAGTCATTCGTGGTCATTCTAACAGGGACTTTCCCATTTAGGTAGTTCTTTCTCAGTGTTCTTTCTTTTTCGAGCCCTTTCCTCCAGGGGAGGCAGGTCATCCCTACCTGCAGAATGGAGAAAACCTGACTGGACCACAGCCCAGGTAAAAATGGCTTCCCCAGTGGCAAATGGCAGATGGCAAAGGACCGTGAAACAAAGCCAAGGCCTTTCTCTCCCCCAGAGACTCTCCTACCATCTTATTTATCCACATTTTCTGTAGAATTACTTCTGCTGGACTCATTTCCCCCCTTTATTCCAAAATGTCAATAGTGTCATTGGGATGCAGACAGAGGAGCTTTTGTTATTTTTTTTCCTACCTTTTGTGGATTTAAAGCATTCTCATGTTAAAATTGTAGGTTTAAGAATGTATCAGTACATTAACTTTTTACACCACCAAAAATATCTCCTGCAAAATTTCAAGTGCAGAAATGTACCAAGAAAGCTAAAGTCCTAGGTCTTACTATTCTCCTCTCTCCCAGTCCCTCTCACATCACTTCTCAGAGGTGACCACCCTCAACCACTTGGTTGTGAACCTCTCATGCCTTGGTTTCTTACACATAAGTGATTTAAGCCAAGTGGGATTATACTATCCACATATCTTAAATTAATTTTTTAATATACCAACAAACCATATGCAAGTTCCCACATCAGTAAAAATAAATTACCTTGTTCTTTTTAAAGGCTGAGCAAAATTCCATAGTTTGAACATAAGAAATTACCTAACCATTCCCCAACAGATGGATTTTTAAATTATGTATTTAACGTATATAATATATATAATACATATAGTATATAATATATAATAGACCTAATAGTTCCAACAGTTCTAGCTTCTCTTAGTTTTTTTGGTGAATCATCAACTCTCCCTCTAAGAACAATCGTGACTTCTTAATGTTTATAATTCCTACATTCCTTTTAAAAATTTTCAATCTCACTGCATGAATGAGGCTCTGCAGGATCTGAGGAGTAAGAGGCCATGAGACTGACTCCTGCTTGTCCCATACTCCAATGGAAAATGCTTTAAATGCTTCACACCCTTAAGTAGGAAGCTTTATTCTCGAATCCTAGTAGATACGGTTGGACAAGTTAAGGCAGTTCCACCTCTCCAGCCCTACTGTATTGAAATAATGTATTAAGTTTTCTCCAATGTTTTTTTTTTTAGCATCCATTAAGATAACCATGTGGCTCTTCTCCTGTTTGGGTGAAGTGTGAGCTTGGTGTTTTCCAGGGCTGTATTTGAAAGATCCCCAGTGATACCGACAAGATCAACCCGGTTACACAGACTCTGCAATTTATGGGACATTGTTTCCTTCTTCTAAAAGCATCTTGATGAAAGTCACTTCCAGAAGGACCAAGGAGGATTTCTGGAGGAAAGGGTGGAACAAAGAGCTTAAAAGAAATCTGGAAAGAGATTAGAATGCACCTTCAAACCCAAGGTTGGTCTCCACTTTTGTCACCAATTAGGTGTGACTAAACCTCCAAAGAGTACAACGGAAAATAGGATGTTCCTCTTGCTTTTGTACATTAACAGGAACTTAGCAGCTCATGTTCAATTAGCTGATTAGGTAACAGTCATCAGTGAATGGGGACAGCCGCAGTCTGCCTTCTCAATGTTTTTTGTTTGTTTGTTTGTTTGATTGATTTATGACTGCATCAAAGTAATAAATTACAGTTGTATTCATTACTCAATCCTCAAGGCTAATTGCAACTCTTCTGATGTGCTCCTTATTCAGGCAGTTAAATAAACAAAGCATTAAATTTGCAGCAGTCACGTCAAAACACATACCACAGTCCAGTGTTTATCACTGATTAGCATTAATAGGCGGAACATGATCCTATCACGAAAGGCTGAGAGAAGAGAAAATGGTTTTTATTTGGGCCAGAGGTTTCCCTTTAGAACTGATGGGTGAAATTCCTGTGATTCAAAATTTGCTGCCAGATCATTCTCTCCTGCCCACCTCTCCCCTCCTCCCCACAATCAGTTTGGTTGGTGGCTTGTCAGGATCTCTCAGACCACAGAAAGTCATAAGGTGGGTTTGAAATAGCTTCTTTTACCCTCTTGGCATCCCCAGCTTTCAGAAGAAAACCACCATCAGGGCTCCTTGCCTGCTTCAGTATAAAATGTCCCTACCTCTGAAAACATCTTCAACAGACTAGGAACCGACAGGCACAGCGGTACACACCTGTAATCCCAGCAGCTTGGGAGGCTGGGGCAGGAGGATTACAAGTTCAAAGCTAACCTTAGCAACTTAGCAAGACCCTGTCTTGAAATAAAAAGTAACAAGGGTTGGTGATGTGGCTCAATGGTTAAGCACCCCTGGGTTGAATCCCTGGTATCAAAAAAAAAAAAAAAAAAAAAAAAGACAAGGAGCTAATTAGCCTAGGAGACTAGGACTTAACAGAATCAATAAAGAATGCTCACATGTATACAGAGATTAATAAAATCTCATAAGAACATCCTAAGGATGTTGGCTTTCTGGACTATGAGGCCAGATCAGTGGTGTCTATTCCAATGGCGAGACCTGTTTGTTATCTCATACATCAAGCACTTTGCAAAGGTAGCTAAGTCCTTACGGCCAAAGGTCTCATCCACGTCCTATCCCCTGTGATCTTGCAATCTCAGGAAGAGCCTATTTCCCCATCCCTTGTATCTGGGCTGGCCAACAGAATGTGGCAGAAGTGACAGAAAGTCAGTCCCAAGGCTGGAACTAAAGAGCCTTCCCACTTTTCTGCCGATTCTCTGTAGTGTGTCTGTCACCACCATAAACCTGCCCCATCTCGCCTGCTTGAGGAGGTGGATGATGTGGAGTAAGCCAATCTAGGTCAGCTAAATCACCTTCTCCCTGGATGTGTGAGTCCAGCCAAGGTCAGAGGCATCTGACTGACACACAGTCATTACAGATGAGAGAACAACAAACGCTATTTGTGTGTGCTCCTGAGTTTGTGTAATTGTTAAACATTCTCTAGGCAATGGATGACTAACCCGTGAGCTGAGCTACAGTGTATGGGGTGATGT